ACAGCACTCGTTGTATGTAGTACCTATTGCTAGGTGAAGATGTTAGAACAACAAACCAACCAACAAAAGGAGATGGTGGTAAGTGTGGTCCCCCATTGTAACTTGAACCAGTCGTAGACTGAGGATGTCCTAGAACAACGTTGCTATTTTGGGAAGAGGTTGAGGGTTAGAGCATTACGGAGGCAGACTCTAGCAGACCTTGTCAACCAACCATACGTCACCTCTTAGCGTCAACCAGGAAGAGTCGTGTTGCGGGTGAGTGTGTGGTGGTAACAGCCACAGAGGCTAGGAACATAGATTTGGGGGGATCTGTCAGGTTCACGTTGAATTGGAGGCTTCGGTTGAGCTTTAGGTAGAGCTGTCCAGGAGACTCAGCGTGGACCGGCTGTCTCAGGGTGTCGTGTTTTCACACTGGAGATGGTGAGGTGGTATGTGTGTCCACATCGCAGCCAGTGCCCCCAGATCCCTGAGAAGCTCCTGGAATGCTGAAGAAGAAGGCAGCCCTGCGAGCACCAAGCAAGAGGAGGCCTGGCCAGCTCTGGGTGACCGGACGCTGGTGCTCATGGTGGATCAGCTCTTCTCTCACCTGCTGAAGGTCATCAACATTTGTGCTCACGTCCTGGACGATGTGGCTCCTGGGCCAGCAGGGAAGGTAATGTCCCCTTCTCACCAGGCCTGCGTTTCCACACTCCCCTCTGTATCCTCGCGACTCAAATGTGACCCCCCATCACCTGTCCCATAGCTCTTTGTGTTACTGTGGCATTGTAGGAGAAGGACTGGACTGCTAACTGCAGGGTCGGCAGCTGCTCCTCGGAAGCCCCTGGACACGGTCACTAGGAATGGGAACTGACTTGACAGCTTACAGCAGCATCGTTTACTCTGAAAGGGATCTAAAGCTCACCTAGCTTTATCCTTCGGCTTTCAGCAGGGAGTCTAGATTTGAAATTTAATAACTCATCTGATGCCTCCCACATTGTTAGTGAAGAGTTTTACTTCTCTGGGAAGCACAGCTTTTGTAACAATCAACTTCACAGCAAATGTTACACTGTCGGTACAATGAATTTAAGGTAGACCAGTCAACGGATGGTGGTGACTGAGTCTCTTCCCTGTATGTGCCATCTCAGGTTCCCTCCACATTTAAAACTACTCCAGCCTGCCAGCTCCTTCGGCCTCCACTGCAGACGGTTCGGAAAAGGCACTTCACTTCTCCCAGTGCTCTGAGCTGAAGCCTGCTCTTCACGGGAGCCAAGTGCCTTGTCTGTGTGGACTCACTTCCTTCAGTCCTGCCAGTCTGCTTTTTGCCGGCTTCCTCCATAGCGGCTCTTCCTGCAGAGACCCTCCTTCCATCCCTGCCCATGTGGTGGTACTTTTCTGGCCCCGTCTTCCTCTTTGCATCATCCTTCAGTGGACTTCCGTGTTGTCTCTTGTGTGTTCTTCTACCTCGCAGCTTCCCAGTCACTGCCCGACTTTAGACTTTCCTCCTTGCCATTACACATGTCCAAGGTTCTAAACCAGGTCATCTGGCCATCTCTCAGGGCCAGCGCCATCTACTGGAACTTTCTGCTTCGTTGGGAGCGTTCCATATCTGCACCACCTAGCACAGTGCCCACTAGCCCTAGTAGGCTGTTACTGATGTGTGGCGAGTGCACCTGAGACCCTGCATTTCTCATTTCACCTGTCAGTGATGTACATTCAGATTGCACCCCCACCATCTCCCCAGCTGGCCTAGGTGCTTCCTGGTAGAGATCAGCGTACTGCGGGAATTCTGCCGGTCCGTGTGTACCCCGCTTTCTGCAGGATGCTTCTGTGGACGATTTGTGGGGTGCTCATACTCAGCTGCCTACACGGTGATTCTCCTTCCCCAGCCACACCGCCCGTTTCCTCACTTTGATTAAAGGCACCATAGACTTCACCACACCAGAATCACAGGATTCTTCTCAGCGCTTCATTTTCACTCAGCACATTTTTGTTCCCCCCTTCTTTTCCCTGGTAAACATCTTGCAAGTATGTGTCAATTTGGATGACAGCGTTATTGAGGTACACCTCGCATGCCATTCAGTGCCACGGTTTGGAAGCATGTACTTCCACGGTGCTTCGGGTCTTTCCTGAGCACACAGCCGTCGGCATAGTCTCAGTTAGAAGGCCCTGGTAGCTAGTGGGTGAGGAGTTGGGCTGCTCCCCACAGGTCAGCAGTGTGAGGTTATCAGCCACTCCATGGGAAAAGAGGAAGCTTTCTGCTCCAGTAAAGATTTCGTCTCAGAAGCCCTATGCAGAGTGGCTATGAGCCGGGTCTGACTCCACGGCACACGGCAGCATGGCCCTCAACAGTCCCTGTCTCCTTTAACTGCCCCCTTCTCACCTCTCCTGCTTCTCCTGCCCCAAACAACTGCTCATGTAGTCTCGGCTGTTCTGGACTCTTCATACCAGTGGAGTGCTACTCCAGGTGACCTTTGGCATGAGGTGGTCACTCGCTCCCCGCTGCTGGCCTATCTCCTCTGGGTAGCCAGTCCATCCCTACCCTTACTCCTGCGTCCATGCGCAGTGATTCTCCGAGAGCCACACGGTTAGAGCTGGCAGAGCCGGTTCTTGGATCCCATGTTATGTCATCCTGTCTCCATTCTGTCACCCTGCGGGCTGCTGGCTACAGCTCCGGAGCCTGCATGGCCCAGGCTGCTACATCCTGCCATGGCCGCGCTCTAGAGCGTGTGTGGACTTGATGCGCTATGAGCTGTATTCTCACCGATAACAGTGGGTCTCCACACCGTTCCTGCCCCTTACATCTGGGGATATGCTCCAAGCTCTGGCTGCCTCAGGCCCTTAGTGGCCCCTGGGATCTGAGAGACTCTGCGCGCCTTCCCAGTCCACCTGGAGCACGCTCTGGGTCACTACCTGCCTCGTGTGGTAGTTCTGGGTGTTAAAGTATATAGCGTATGGACAATACCCGACTTTTGGACTCCTGGTGGGACGCTGTAGGGTCAGCACAAAGTCAGAAAACCCCTCTACAGGGTTGCTGTGAGTCTGAACTGACTTAACGGCACTTAACACCAACAACCATGTGACTACTGACTATTAGAAACACAGATTCAGAGGAAAGAGAGGAATTGCAGGGCTTAGCTCTTCACAATCCAAAAAACCCACACACACTGCTGTCAAGTCCATTCTGATTCATAGTGACCTGGATAGGGTATCTGAGAACCGTCAGTCCTTACAGGGACAGACAGACTCGCCTCACCTGCAGTACCATCTGACCACATGCCATGGGTTTTGGGCCCTGCTGCACGCACTTTGTTTACGGGTTTTGTTTTCTGTTTTAGGCGGCCTTGCCTTCCCTAACAAACCCCCCTTCTCTAAGTCCCATCCGACGAAAGGGGAAGGACAAAGAAGCAGGGGAGCAGGCCTCGGTGCCATCGAGCCCAAAAAAGGGTGTGGAAGCTGCGCCAGGTGAGAAGGCAAGAGGGGAGGGAAGTGGCCAGAGCGAGCATTAGGAGGGAGCATTGTCTGTAACGTGGAAATTTCATAGCTAAATGAACATAATCACTTGATGCTTTATGGAAATAACATAGGAGACTGAGAAAGTGTGTCCCCCTGGGGTGATGTAGCCGGTTGGAGAGCTTGTCATTCTGTGTGGTGGAGAATGAATCCACAACACACTGCACACACCCTTTCGGTCTTCATGTCTATAAGCTGCTTCAGAATGTGCTGGACTTCTCAGAATTGCCTCTAGACCAGCCGGAAGCCTGGCCAGTCCTAAGAGCTTCAGCAAGTGAGCAGTGTGCCCCTGATCCACTGTTGTCTGAGTGGGATACCCTGACGGCTCCCAGAGCAGGGCAATTTCTCTACAGGCGGTAGCAGTCCGAGCAAGAGCTGCTGCTCTCGCTCTTAGTGACCTCACATGCTTGCTCGGGTTTGTGTCCCCTGTAGTTTTGCAAGCACTGTCTCATGTCCTCCCTGTTGGATTGTATAATGATCCCCCAAGCATAACAGTTGTGAGGTTAGTGCAGGACCCAGCGTTGTTTGGTTCTGTTGTGCGTTGGATCAGCATCTACCAACAACCACGATAAACAAGTTCAATCAGTGGCCCAGCCCATCTCTACCAGTGTTCTGAGACATTTCAGGACCGGGGAAGGGCATTCAGTGCACTATGCTGCAGGTCCTTTAGGCTGGTGCCTTCCAAAGCAAACGAGCAGAGAAGGCCAACAGCACAAAGTAGCCGTAGCATACTGCTTGTCTCCTCCTTGGGTTTCTAGGTACTCGGATCCTGTTTAGTCAGTTTCTCATTAGGTCCAATTGCTCAGAAACTCAGGGAGGATTAGAATGGTTTTCTATTGAATGAATTTCACAAATCATTATTGCCAGCACTCTATTTTAAACGTGGCAGATTTTTACCATTGGTCTAAAAGATTATGTTTTGTGTGTATGTTTTTCAAGCTTCTAAACAATCTGATACCTCAGGGCCTGTTACCACAAGTAAGTCCTCGTCACTGGGAAGTTTCTACCACCTGCCTTCGTACCTCAAATTGCATGACGTCCTGAAGGCTACTCATGCCAACTACAAGGTATGGCCCCTCTGCTCTCTGTGAGAACTACAGATGCACAAACTGGTCCTTCTCGAAGGAATTGCTGCTTTTACAGGGTGTACAGATACACAGAATATATCCATATATGCAAACATTACGTTACACAACATTTGTGGGAAATTCCCATGATCCCTTCATTCCACATTCCCACCAACTTTTTGAGGCTGTGGTAAGCACACAGCCATCTGGGATAGAAGGACAGTTTACCTTCTCTGGCCTGTTGGCCTGTCAGCTTGATTTGTGGTGGCGGCTTCTGACACAGACTTTCGTACTCTGACATTAAGGAAGTGATCTCTCTTGTGGTTGAAGGGTTCTGTGTCCTGGACCCCAACACCATCCTGTGTGTGGAGATTTGCTAGGAGAGCTCAAAAGGCAGCACATAGCCGTCCTCACAGCTGAGGTTCATTGTCTGCAAACTGGGGAAGGCTGTGCAGTGGGCTGGGGCGAGACAAGGGACACTGTCACCATTGTCTGCTTTAAAATGTCTTTGCTGTCTGATTGTTGGCTGTGAAGTGTCCAGCTGATGTCACTGTCTGCCCAGTAACTGACCCATGTGGGACAGTTACCAGACAGTCTGTGCCCTCTGTGCTGATGGACTGAACTATCCTGAGCTCTCAGGAACTTCTGGCTTCTTCGTTTTTTTTTTGTGTCTGCCTGTGTGCTCACGGAGTAGAAGCTGGTGTTTTCATCACTGTGGTTTCACACGGTTTCCATTTGTGTAACTTTTTATCGTGAAAATTACATGGGACCGAGCATGCACCATCTCGGCCATCCTCTGCATACGAGTTCATCCCAGTTAGCCTGTAGAATTGTAGGGGTGGTCTGCTGAGCTCTGCTGCGGATAGGAGCAGCAGCTTGTCACACCCCACATGACACCCTGGGTGCTTGGGTTTCTGTTGGGATTATGTTGAGTGTGTCTAGTAGCTTCGGGAGAACGCACTCTTGGCGACGTTGTGTTCACGTCTTCCTCATGAGCTCCCTAGGCTTGCTGTAACAGAGATACCCCAGTCGGTGCATGGCTTCAATGGACAGAATTTATTTTCTCATAGTTTAGGAGGCAAAATAAAACCCCAGCCAGCTGCTGTGGAGCTAATTAAGACTCACAGTGGTCCTAGAGGACAGACACTAGAGCTGTGCCACAGGGTTTCCAAAGCTGGGAGTGCAGGGGCTCCATAGGATAAGCACAGAGCTATGAACCACAGGGTAGCAAGTTCAAGCCCACCAGCCACTCTGTGGGAGCAAGGTGATGTTTTCTGCTCCCGTACAGATTTGAGAAATCTTAGAAACTTATATAGGGTTGCTATGAGCCGGAAGTGGCTCATCAGCACTGAACCACAGCAGCAAGCCTTTACAGACACTGACTGCCTGGTGGGTTCAAACTATCAACCCTCTGGTTACCTACCTGGTTACACGCTGCGCCACGAAAGCGCCTTTTGAGCAGGTTAGAAGTTTGACTTCAGGGCGCCAGCTTCCGGGGAAGGCTTTTGTCTCTGTGGCCTCTGGGGAAGGTCCTTGTCTCTTTAGGTCCTGTTCGCTGGCTCCTTGGTGACCTTCCTGTGGTATCTGTGTCCCCCACCCCCTGCCTTGCTTTTCTGTCCTAATCAGCTTTTTATATATTTCTGGGGTGGTGGGCATAATAAAGCACATCCTCACCAAGGTGACTCTGCACCTGCAAAGATGGGGCCATTTCCTGCTGCGCAATCTCACCACTAGTACAGGGGCTAGGATTGATGACATCGATTTTGGGGGTGGGGGGCACCATTTACTCTATAGCGTTGTTAGTGTTGAGTGAGTGCCGTTCAGTCGGTTCTGACACATAACCACCCTGTATAGAGGTTCTGAGGCACGGCTGGTGGGTTTGAACTGCCACCTTGCAGTTGAAATCACGCTAATCCTACAGTGCTGTATATAGTAGGACTCCTTTCTCTAGAATGTTGGTGTTGTTAGGTGCCGTCGAGCCGGTTCCAATTCATAGCAACGTTAATTCAGAAGCACAATGAAACGAAACACTGCCCGGTCCTGTGCCAACCTCAGAATCATTGTCAAGCTTGAGCCCATTGCTGCTGCCACTGTGCCAGTCCATCTCACTTGGAGTCTTCCTCTTTTCCACTGACCCTCCACTTTACCTGGCGTGGTGTCCTTCCTGAGAATGTGTCCGACGTATGAGAGACAGAGTCTGGCCATCCTGGATTCTAAGGAGCAATCTGGCTGTATTTCATCTGGCGTTCATTTTTTTGTTTGTGTTGCTAATAGGTTTTTCTCCTGTTTGGGGGAGAAATCATTTATAACCTTACATGGTTGCTTTTCTAGAGGACATTGATAACTTCAAAAGAAAAAAAAATGTTCAAGTCCATTTTAGAAACGATCAAGACCTTCCCTAGCCAGCTGGTTTTCATGTCCACCCCCTCGGAGCGGAGTTTCTGGCAGCTTGTTCCCTTCAGGCCATCTTTAGGTTTCACCCCTTCTGTGCTCCTGGTGTGTCCGTCCCCAATGCCCTGGGCTCTAAGGTCTCACGCTTGGCTCCAGAGCACTCTCTTTACGTGTAACCAGGATGTGGGGGCAGGTCTTCCCTCACTGCCTCCCCTGGTCCTATGCATCTTCTGCTCAGTCTCCTCTGGGTCCTCTGCTGCCCTCTGCTCTTACCTGCTGTAACTCCTTGTCAAGTCTCCACAGATTGTCTCCTGCGCATCTCCACATCCCAGTCCCAGCACATGACTTCATGTTTCTTCAGATCTTCCCAGGTGCACTGCTGCTAATCTCCTTCACCTCAGTAACCCCTGCCTTTCCGCCCCCTGCAGTCTGCAGGGAGATGGGTCTTGGGCTCTTACCTCTTCCCTTCTGTCTCTTGTGGGCCTGGCTTCCTGGCTTTGGGATCCTTACTTGTCCCTCCTGGTTCCCTCCTGCTCCTTGTCCCACTGAGCTCCCTCTCAGCCTGTGCACAGAGAGAGAGAGGCAGCAGTGTGTGGATCTGCCTCACCTCCATCCCTTTTCTCTGATCTCAGCAGCGCTTGCTGCTCCTTCCAGGGCGGCTCCCCAGTTGCTGGGGTGTTGGAGCATTTGGCAGTGCTCTGCCTAGTGTTCAGTCTGGCTCTCATCCGAACTCTTCCTCTAGTCTGTAGGTGGAGGAATTTCCTATAGCTTCAGTAAGCCAACTCTTCTGGAAATCCTAATACAATGCTCCTGACAACGAATTTGGAGGCCTTGCTGTGGCACTGTAGGATAAGCACTGGTTGTTTGAATCACAAGATCAGTGGTTCAAATTCACCAGCCGCTCCTCAGAAACCCTATACAGGGTTACTGTGAATCAGAACTGACTCGGTGACACTTAATAACAACAACTAGTTTAGTATTTGTTGTAGCAACTGTTTCTGAATTGGGGATTGACTTCCCCCAGAGACCCTGTTGCATAGGGAACAGCGTGCTTCATACTTGTAATAAACTGCTTACCACACACTGGTTCTGTTCACCATTTCAGAGACCTTCCTTATCTGACAGGATCTTGGGAATTCTTTCTTTCACTGTGGTACTCACTGTAAAGGAGCCCCAAATGGTACTGCAGGATAAGCACTGTACTGCTAACCACAAGGTCGGCAGTTCAAACCCTTTTTCCTCAAGACAAAGATGAGGCTTCTGTAAACCCTGTACCATGTCGCTGTACTTGGCTGTGAGTTTGTGTATCACTCTAAGTGTGAAGATGCCTTTGAAAGACACGAGTTGCACTAGAGCTGACCGGAAGAGCAGCTTTCTCTCTGAGATGTTTTCCAGAACTTCACACACACACACACACACACACACACACACACACACACACACACACTCAGTATGGTAAGGAGACAGGATTGTACAATGGAAAATGATCTTTCTGAGGTGTTCTCCCAGAGCTCAGGAGGGGGTAGGGCTGCATGGTGGAGCGCACCCCACCCCATCCCACTGCCATGGACAGCGCTGGCGTCTAGCTTGTAGTGCCCACAGCAGGGCAGTGCCTGTAACCGCATCTTCTGTCCTTGCACCCCAAGGTCACCCTGGACCTCCAGAACACCACGGAGAAGTTTGGTGGCTTCCTGCGCTCCGCCCTGGATGTCCTTTCACAGATTCTAGAACTGGCGACTCTGCAGGACATCGGCAAGGTTTGTACGGACTTCCTTGTCATCAAGCACACACTCGGAGTGCCTCACCGAGAAGGTGACACAGTCAAGGGGTGGGGGGTGGGGGAAGTTGTCCCCCAGCTCACTGGTGAGCTTTTGTCTTTATTGCTTCACCTTGCCTGGTTTCTTTTGCTGTGTCTTCAAGTCCCCGACTTGCTTCTTCTTGTGTAGTCCCCGACTTGCCGTTAGTTCCACCTGGTGTGTTTTCACACTGACGCTGCTGTGTCCATATCTGGGAGTGTGATTAGGGCCCTTTATGCCTCTGCTTCACTTTCTGGGCACACGGGATACAGTTAGAAGTAATTCTTGTTTGGCCTTCTCTGTTAGTGCCAACCTCTCCATCAGCCCTGAGGCGCTTCAGGTTGATTGGTTACACTCTGCACTGTGGGTCGTGATCTCCTGCGTGCCCTGTAATCTGTCACTGCGTAACAAACATTGCACTTTTGACTTTGTTGGGTGGTAGATTCTTTTTTTTTTTTTTAATATTTTATTGTGCTTTTGGTGAACACTTACACTGTAAATTAGGCCCTAGTGGCACTGTACGATAACCGCTGGACTGCTAACCAAAAGGTCATCGGTTCAGACTTATGACTTGATCCTCAGAAGGCCTCCACAGGGTCGTTGTGAGTCAGAACTGACGCAGCGGCACATGCCAGCAACAGCAGCATGCATATTGTTCATTGACATGGGTTATGTTTTCAGAATGTGTGAACACTCCCATTCTTTCCTTTGTGCATGTTCTGTCTCCATTTGTCTAGCATCTCCCTGTCCCTCCACTTGGCTTTAGGGTGATGTGTCAGAGGAGCACAGTGCTCACAGGTGACATCCTGTAGTTAATGAACCAGTTGGTTAATGGGCTGAAACACACCCTCCAGGAGTGCCTTCCATTCCAGGCTGAAAGAGTAACTAAGGCAGTAGTTAGTCTCCGGTACCTCTGTTCTCTCCCAGCCCATTAAGTCTGGCTTTTTGTTTAGGAATTCCAGTTGAGCTTTACAGTTGCGTCCCTGGTCAGAATGGTTGTTAGTGGTAACCATATATATGTGTGTGTGCGTGTGTGTGTGTATACACACAGAGAGAGAGGTGGGCTTTCATCAAGAAACGATGAAGAAGTGGGCAACTTCCAAGTCCATGGGTCAAGTGTCAGGCTAGACGTTTCTCCCGACTGACATTGGCAGGTGGGATGGCAGGCTTTGGACCGCAGAGGCAAATGAAGCCGAGATCATCAGGTTAGATGGCAGGCTGCTGACAACTGGACTAGCAGACAATGCAGCAGGCTGCTGGCTCAAAGCAAAACAACAGGTGAGGTCAGATGATGAGCCAGATCCAGGATCCAGGTGAGCAGCAAGCTCTGTATAAGTGTCTGCGATAGTGGTTGCAGACCATACTCTCCTGGAAACCTCTTTTCAATTGATTGGTTGCTTATAGCAGATCTCCTCATGGAGGTCATTACAGGAAGTCAGATAATTTCGTGGGCAATTGTTACATCTTCACTAACAAACCACTGAGAATCCAGCTCCATCCAAGTGGACACAAAAGTTTAAGTACCACACCCATTTGTTCACTGCGTTATTTCTTTTCTGTTGTGATATTGTTTTCTATATATTTTTTAGATTAGATCTTTATCAGATGTGTCATCCCTTAAGGTTTTATTCTGAGTCTGTGGGTTCTGTAGGCTTCCTTGAGCTTTTGTTTTGAGATGCAGTTCAGTAAGTTGGAAGGAGCTGGATTTTGTGGGTTTCTTTTACAAGTTGTGTGATGAGTTCGTGCAGTACCTGGTCTGTGGCAACTCTTTCACGATAGCTGAAGCAGCCGTCTGTTCACTTACCAAGTGCTCTATTCCGTGCCCCTGAAGGAGGAAAAAGTGTTGAAGAGCAAAGATGTCAGCTTGAGGACTAAGGTGCACCTGACCCAAGTCATGGTGTTTTCAGTAACCTCATATGCATGCGAAAGTTGGACAGTGAATAAGGAAGACCGTAGAAGAATTGATACTTTTGAGTTATGGTGTTGGAGGAGAATATTGAAAGTGCCATGGGCTGCCAAAAGAACCAACAGATCTGTGTTGGAAGAAGTGCAGCCAGAGTGCTTCTTGGAGGCCAGGATGGTCAAACTGCGTCTCTCATACTTCAGACATATTGTCAGGAGGGACCAGTCACTAGAAAAGGATGTCTTGTTTGGTAAGGTGGAGGGTCAGAGTAAATGAGGAAGACCCCCATCAAGATGGATTGGCCAAGTGGCAGCATCAATGGGCTCAAGTGTGGTCTTGATTGTGAAGCTTGTGCAGGACCGGGCAGTGTTTCATTCTGTTGTGCTTAGGGTCGTTATGAGTCAGTGCTGACTCGATGGCACCTAACAACAACAACAATGGCCCTTCACTATTAGAAGTCCACCAACGTCTGTTGCCTTTTCTCACAGGAAATGACATCAAGCAAAATTAAATGAGAGGCATTTTCCATCTCTCACTGGTGTTGATACTGAGCAACGTTAACAGGCAGTGCGCCCTGCAGTGCTGCTGTCATAGAATCACCAGCATTTCATAAGTGCCCAGTGACATTGTGGTCCCAGCTAGTGGACACATCTGTGGGGACACAGTGTGCTCAGTCCATGACAGCATCAGAGGAAGCATGTTGTTGGCTTTGATGCTGTGGAGTGCTGTTGAGTGGGTTCCCATCCTGGTGGGTTCGACCTTGCAGCATTGTGGTTTGCAGTCCAGTGCTGACCCACAGTGCCACAGAGAGCAGTTCTTAGACTTCAGTCCTTCCCCTCCTTGTCACTTTTCAGAACCACAGCAGACGCCACACAGGTGGTGTTTGATGAAGGTGAAATAATCTGGGAGCTCATACGCAGTAGTCCTTTTGTTCAGCTTTGCACGTTTCCTCAAGCCTCCCCTACTAATTGTGACATGGAGTCCACTGTATAGGGGTTCTGAGGAGTGGCTGGTGGGTTTGAACTTCTGACATTTATCTAGTGCTTATCCTAGAGTGCCACACTAGGATATAGTATTTTGCAATAAATGTCTCCTGCCCACAGATGCAGGGTGTCCACTTAGGCATTCCTGTCCTAACACTGGGCCGGACGCACCCCTCGTGGACACCCATGAGGGGAGGTGACTACGTGGACCCTAAGAACATGCGAGACCAGTTGAACTCTGTGCACGTGGCTACAGTACTTTCTTACTGCCCTCCTCAGCTCAAGATGATCAGTGGATACGTGTGACCTTCTGAGTTTTGTAAATGCATACAGCGGGGCTTCAGAAAGTCTGTGGGAGAATCCCATTATCATTTCATTCCGTTTCTCCGTGGACGTTTCATGTCCCCTCTTACAGCTTTAGCAGCAGCCAGTCTGCGTGTTGTTTCTGGCTGGGATTCACACACGTGTTGACTGTCACCACCTTCTCTCTCTGCAGTGTGTGGAAGAGATCCTGGGCTACCTGAAGTCCTGCTTCAGTCGAGAGCCAATGATGGCCACAGTCTGTGTCCAGCAGGTGAGAGCACCCCAGCCCAGGTGACACTGTGGTGCTGCACAGCCTCACTTAGAAATGACCATCCACCTGTCACACCTTCACGGCTCCATTTTAGGGCCAGGGTGGCTGCTGAGGAGATTGGGTCCTGTCCCGTCTCTTGGCCAGGTCTGGAGGGTGGGGGCATCAGTAGCTCCACTGGGCCCTCACTGCCCAGCCCTCGTCGTAGCGCATCCTCAGGTGTTTATCACAATCACAAGGCCACTGCGAGGGCTCAGTTGTTCATGAGCAAGGTCCGAGCAGTGCTTCACAGGAGAAATCCCAGCAGGTGTAGATGTGAGCGGCAGCAGGCGTTTCACATGCCCAGTCGTGTGTAGGTGCATTTGGTGGGATTGTTCATGCTGACAACCTCACTTCTTCCACTCTAGCTGTTGAAGACTCTCTTTGGAACCAACTTGGCCTCACAGTTCGATAGCTTGTCTTCCAACCCCAGCAAGTCTCAAGGCCGTGCACAGCGCCTCGGCTCCTCCAGCGTGCGGCCCGGCCTCTACAATTACTGCTTCATGGCGCCCTACACCCACTTCACTCAGGCCTTGGCGGATGCCAGTCTGAGAAACATGGTGCAAACAGAGCAGGAGCACGACACCTCGGGGTAACAGCCCACCCCTCCATGTGCGTGTGCTGTCTTTGGTAGGAACGTGAAAGAAGAGCCGTGAATGTGTGTGAACAGGCAAACTAACCCGGAACTTCTAATATGCAACTGTGTGTGGTTGATGCAAAAGTGGTGTTGGCATAACCCTGCCCTCTGACACACGTAGTCCTGTGAGTGAGGTGGGTGTGTGGGGTTGTCCCGCCTCGGAGGTGGTATTGGGGTAGCCCTGCCCTCAGATGAGTAGAGTTCTGTGAGTAAATGAAGGTGTAAGTGCGCTATGCTAAATCTTGTATAAATGTGTTAAATGAAGGTATAAGTGCGCTATGCTAAATCTTGTATATATGTGTTTTAAAAAAAAAATTGGCAGAGATACTGCATGGGTGCAGTTAGCTCCAAAACCTTACAATGTGCGTGTTATTCCAACAAAAAGAGTATCTGCTAATAATTATGTTGTTGTTGTTGTTTTTATAAGTACCTACTGTATTAAGCAACAGAGTCCTGGTGTGGCACCATAGGATAAGCACTTGATTCAAGGTCTGTTTGAATCTCAAGATTGGTGGCTCAAACTCACCATCTGCTCCTCAGAAGCCCTATACACGATCACTATGAGTTGGAACTGACTGGATGACACTTAGAGTAAGAATGGCATCACAAGTCCAAGAAGAAATTTGAGTCAAAAGAGGTTTTTAGTCACAAAGCTCACAGAACACATCACACAGCCTGGATTCTTCTGTGACCCTCAAATGCCTTGCACGCCACCGCCTTCTCCTCACTGCGTGGTGTGACGAGCGCCGCAGCTCACCCCTCATTAGGAGGAAGGGAAATGTTACTTCACTTGCTTGCTGTAAGGTCACGAGGACACTGTATCACCACTCTGGTTCATGGTTGCAAGTAGAGCGGGGGCTGCATATACAACCCAACTGTCCTCTTCCTCATCCCCACCTGCTGGTGAGATGGGGTAGTTCCCCCCAAACCCACCACCACCTCAGAGATGGGATCACCCCCACAGCCAGCCACCTCAGTGATGGTGTAGCCCTGCCCTCAAGCTGGGCATACCCCGTGAGCAAGGAGGGTGTGTGGGGCGATCCATCTTCTAGGTAAAGAGACCGTATTTGAATTGCTACTTAGTGATAGAGTACTGGAGTCTCCCGGTTTTGGTGTAGCTGTAGTTATTAAGTATTGTGGGTAAGTGCTGTCGAATCAGTTCCCACTCATAGCGGCCCTGGTTAGGGTTTCCAAGGAGCAGCTGCTTAGTTTGAATTGCTGACCTTGCGATTGAAACTAACCTTGCAGTCCAGTGCTTATCCTTCTGTGCTACACCATTCAAATCTTAAAAGAGTCAGGAACCAAGGAAGTTACTCATGCTTCTGGCTTTACGTTAACGTCAGTAATGTGCTTGAGGGCTAGTTCTCATCAGGCACTGGGTTTGGTGATGGCGGTGTAAATAAGCAAGGGTGTGTGTGCGTGCTTGTCTTTAAATTATGAATATGTACTTTCATACCTTCTAAGGTTGTGGTGCTTGTAGATATTTTGGTGTTGGAAATCAAGTGACGCCTATTTTCTTGGTGACCAAATCTGGGCCATTCTTTAGTCTCCCCTGGACTGTCGTGTTTTTCTCAGCCTCATAGAGGTTTTCCCCCAGTAGCAGAGGAAGAAGTCAGTGGCCTCCTGAACATGACAATGTTCGAAGGCTGTCCACCAACTGCAGATGCCGTATTTTGTTCATTTTATCAGCTTTAAAAAGAGAACATGTCACCCTTCTACGGAGCGGCCTTTAGAGTTCTTTATGACTCTGCTTCCTCGTGGTTTTGTGACTCTGTAATTTATGAGTTTGGACAGGAGTAGAATGAACTATGGTATTGTTGTTAAGTGCCGTCAAGTCGATTCCGACTCCTAGCGACCCTGTATAGTTGCAGTGTAGCGCATTGACCCCCAGTGCCACACCAGGACTCCAGATCCAACTTTGTTGTTGATAAGTGCCATCAAGTCAGTTCCAACCCACAGCAACCCTATATATAGGGTTTCCAAGGAGCGACTGATGAGCTTGAACCACTGACCTTGTAGTTCAAATGGCTTTGCAGTCTGGCACGTTAACCCACAGCGCCACACCAGGTCTCTGTAGATCCAAATTTAGAAGGCATTTATTCAAGGACATTTGTCCCTCTTCTTTTTTTGTTTGGCAGGTGGTTTGATGTTCTCCAGAAGGTGTCTTCCCAACTGAAAACAAACCTCACAGGTGTCACAAAGAACCGTGCCGACAAGGTAATTGTGAGACAGTGCTTTCGAAGGTCCTGTGGATCCGTTTCCATGCTAGAAATACAAATCGGCGAAGTTTCAGATTGGCTGTCGGACGCTGTCAGTTGAAGAATCACTAATGAATTCTTTCTTCTTATGTTTTTTTATAGAATGCTATTCATAATCATATTCGCTTATTTGAGCCTCTGGTGATAAAAGCCTTAAAGCAGTATACAACAACAACGTCTGTGCAATTACAGAAGCAGGTTTTGGACTTGCTGGCACAGCTGGTTCAGCTACGGGTCAATTACTGCCTTCTGGATTCGGATCAGGTTTGTCGTGTTCAAACCTCCTTGGCCTTTACCCCGTCCCTGGTCATCGTTTTGCCAGTCTGCCCATGCTCTGAGGAGTCTGAGGGGCTCACCAGCTGCTTTGTGGGAGACAGATGAAGTAGTTTACTTCTGTACTTTTATAGCCCCAGAAGCCCTAGGGAGCAGTTCTGCTCCTCCTTATGGGCTGCTTTGAGCAGGAATCGATCCCATGGCAGTGGGTGGGCTCGTACTCTAATGAAAACACCTGAAGAAGACACTGAACTAGCAGAAGAATGAGGGCTCCTCCCACTCCCTAAACCATCTTTCTATAGCACTGTCTACTCAGCTGGCTTCAGACATTCCCTGCCCTGGCCACTCAGAACGGAGATACTATACTCACAGTTGTGGGGTGTATTGGGGAAGGTGCCAGTACAGAATCCAGAGATGGTCAGGGCTCAGGTCTCCCTGTCAGGACGGCCTCTCCTCAGCTGGGCCCACAGGCAGCCCTCACTCTGCCTGGCGGTATTACGGAGCTTTTTGAGGGCTGCTGACAAACGCCCACGGAGCACACCACTTCATCACAAGCCTCAGCCGGAAGGCACGTGGCTCTAACTCTGGGTCAGCAAAACTAGGTCCCCAATTAAGTACCTGGAGGTACCACAGTCGGCAACGGCAAGCAAGCCTCCCGCCCAAGGTCACTGAACTCGACTTAAGCAAGCCTCCTGCCCCCCCCCCCAGGTCACTGAACTCGGCTTGCCCCACGGGGTGGGAAGCCCACAGCTGTCTTGGTGCTGCTGCTGCTGCTCCTCTGCCCGCCTCCATCGCTCCTCTGGTCACAGCTTTCTGCTCCCGGGTCGGGGAGGTTCAGTGTGCAGGGATCTCGGCCTCCAAATGGCATGCCCCCCTCACAGCTCTTCACGGATGGTGGTGGCGTTCCCCTCCTGATTCTGAGATGTTAGAGTTCCAGGTTTCTACAGTCACAACGAACTCTGTTATCAGTCATTCACAACAGATCCATACCCTTCCATTAGGGTCTTCTCCCGGCTTCTCACACACAGACCCGTCCCTAAAAGTCGTTTGTTGGCAGTTACCAAGACTAAGGGTAGAAGCGACATATCAAAGAACTTACTCTACCCCAGAACCTAGAAAAACGTTGACTGTTGTCATCCTCTCTGCCCCACTGCCAAGTGCTGCCTCTTTGACACAGCTAGCTACTTGTCAAATGCTGGGCCCGAGCAGGTCTTCGCCAGTGTGACCAATCACAGCCCAGGGCTCCGTTCCAAGTCTGTGCTGTGTACAAACTGGGGGCTTTGTCATGGTGGGCAGAATTCAGCAGAGCTTTTAGACTGAGAGACGAGGAAGAAAAACAGACGGACCACTTCTGGAAGGTTAGCCGCTGAAATCCTTACTAATACCAGTGACACGTTCATACCTGGTGATTGGAATGCGACAGTTGGAAACATGGCCTTGGTGATAGAGACAGCGCTGGAGATCACATGGTAGATTTTTGTAAAACCAATGACCTATTCATTGCAGATATCTTTATTCCAACAACGTAAATGGGGACTAGCTACGAACTGCAAGGTCAGCAGTTCAAAACGACCAGCTGATCCATGGGAGAAAGATGAGGCTTTCTGCTCATGTAAAGATTTGTAGCCTCGGAAACCCTGTACAAGGTCGCTGTGAGTTGGAACTGACTCCACGGCACATAACCAACCAACCAACCAATACACATGGACCTCATCAGATGGAATATACAAGAGTCAAATTGACTACATCTTTGAAAGAGACAGTGGAGATGCTCAATCACACCACATGAGCCTAGGCCTGGGGTAGACTCCGAAAGAGACCATCAATTGCTTATACGCAAGTTCAGATTAAAGCTGAAGAAAAATAAAGCAAGTCCCTGAGAGCCAAAATGTGACCTGGACTATATCCCATCTGAATTTAGAGTCCATCTCAAGAGCAGATTTGGTGCAATGAGCACTGATGACCGAAGACCAGAGGAGTTGTGGAATGACAATAAGAATGTCCTATGTCAGTAAAGAGATCGCAAGGTCATTAAAAAGAAAGGAAAGAAAGACCGATGTGGATGTTAGACTCTGAGACTAGAAGAAATGAAGCAAAAGCTGTGTAGAAAATTTCAAAAGGCAGTCGAGAAGACAAACTATTACAATGAAGTGTGCTAAAACCTGGAGTTAGAAAACCAAAAGGGAAGTAAGTGCACACTCAATATTTCTCAAGATGAAGGAACTGAAGAAAAAATTCAAGCCTCTACTTGAAACACTGACACATTCTTTAGGGAATTTTTTTTTTTTTTTTAAATAACGTTTTTGTGAATTGAGTGAAAGTTTACAGTGTAGATCATCGGTTTTACATTCAACATATCATATGCAATTCGTAACAATGATTATAATCCCCTCCTTGTGCCATCAGTTAACAGTATATCTGTCTATTCACTTTAGCTTTTTTTTTTTTCTGTTAAACACTCAGGCATATATAATAATTTACACCACTAAAGGGCACATTCTGCAAGTCAGCCTCCTGGCCGCCAGCTCTCAGTCCCTCTCTTCCCATGAATCTAGAGTCCTCAGCTGCTCTCTCTCTCTATGTCCCCATCTCTGCCTCCATCTCTGGTGTCGCTGCTTCTCTGGATAATGTCTCGTGTTCCACTTGTGCTCTTCTCCCTTGATTATCCTAGGGTCCTCTGTTTCTGGACTGTAAGATAAGCCACTCCCCTGTTGTTGTTACAAAACTTCTACCTTTACAATTGTGACAGTTGCGATTAGTCGTGGTAACAGTAACTCACTATTGAATCAAGAATCTTATCCCCTTCCCTCTTCACCAGATCTTTGGGCAAATATTTAAAGACACAGGAAGCATCAAAAGACTATGGGAGGAATACAGTCAGTGTATCAAAAAGAATTGGTCAGTGTTGTTCAGTCATTTAGAAATAGAATATTATCAAGAACTGTTGGTATTGACTGGCAAAGCAATTTACACATATAATGCAATCCCAATCCAGATTCCAACGACATTCTTCAAAGAGATGGAAAAAACAATTACAAATTTTCTATACAAAGGAAAGAGACCCAGGATAACCAAAGGACTGCTTAAGGAGAAGAACAAGGTTGGAAGCCTCTCACTGCTAGATTTCAAAATTTACTGCATGGCTACAGTGGTCAAAACAGCCTGGTACTGGTACAATTAAAGATACATTGATCAGTGGGACAGAATCGAGAATCCAGAAATTAACCCAACGCAAATTGGGATGTTTAAACAAACTGACACACTGATGGAGGCTCTTACTTGTCTATGACAAGGAATTTGGAAGACAGCTATTGGAAGAGATCCCTATTTGTGTCCGTTCCAAAGAAGAATGATTCAAAATAAAGCAGAAAGCAACAGTATGATATGCAAATAAAATTTTTCTGAAGATCATTGAAGAATGGTTGCATCAGGACATCAACAGGGAGCTGCTAGAAATTCCAGCTGGGTTCAGAAGAGGAAGTGGTATGAGGGATTTCATTGTTGATGTCCGATGGGTCTTGGCTGAAAGCTGAGTACCAGTAAGGTGTTTGTGCTTTATTGATTGTTCCAAGGCTCCCTGCTGTGTGCATCATGCCATGCTATAGATAACAATGTGAAGCATGGATATTCCAGAACACTTAATCATGCTCATGAGGAACCTGTGCATAGACCAAGAGGCGGTTGTTCGAACCGAACAACAGGATATAGACTGGTTTAAAATCAGGAAAGGTGGTGCCCTTTCACCATACTTATTCAGTCTGTATGTTTAGCAGATAATTTGAGAAACTGGATTTCCTGAAGAAGAATGTGGTTTCAGGAGGAAGACAGAGCAACAGCTGCAGCATGCAGAGGACGCAACCATGCTCACTGACAGGGACTTGAAATACTTCTGACGAGGCTCAAAGACCTCAGCCTTCAGTATGGATTGCACCTCAGTCTAAAGAAATGGAAATTAGTAACATCATGATAAATGGAGACTATTGAAGTTGTCAGAGAATTCATTTTACTCGGATCTACAAAGCTCATGAAAGCAGCAGTCAAGAAATTAATTGACATATTGCATTAGAAAAACCTGCTGCAAAAGACTTTTTAAAGTGTTGCTAAAGAGCAAAGATGTCACGTAGAGGATTAAAGTTCAGCTGACCCAAGCCTGGTGTTTTTAATCACGTCATATTCATGCCAAAGCTGGCCAACACATCAGGAAGACTAGGTGAAACATTTGATTATGGTGTTGGCAAACAGCAGTGAGCAAATCTGTTGGAAGAAGTCTGGTGGATTGTTCTGTGGAAATGATGTTGGTGAAACTTGGTCTCTCAGACTTTGGACATGTGGTTAAGAAGGACCAGTCCCTGGAGTACGACGTCATGCTTCCTACAGTGGGTGGTCAGGGAGGATGGTGCAGGTCTGGATTTCGTTCTGTTGTACACCGGGTCGCTATGCGTTGAACCTGACTTGATGGCACCTAACAATGGAGAGTCCAGTTGAATTCACTCCAGGTAGATAGGCTAGTTGAATATTCCTACCGAAACGGAACTCACTCTGGACAAATGTCCCCTGGAGTTCATGCCTGTAGTCAGAGTCTGCCTCTTCTTGTTGGGCTGTGGTCCTAGGCTACTCTCCCCTGTGAGGGAAACTTTTTTTTTTTTTTTAAGGTTTTTATTGTGAGTTGAGTAAAAAAGTTTACAGGGCAGATCATCAGTTTTACATTCAAGTCATACACTTTGTTTCATTGCAATGATGATAATTCCCTCCATGTGCCGTCAGTTACCAGTGTTTCTCTCTATTCACGTTTGCTTTTTTTTTTTTTTTAAACACTCAGGCATGTATAATAATCTACACCACACCAAAGGGCACATTCTGCAAGTCTGCCTCCTGACCTCTATCTCTTAGTCCCTCTCTTCCCATGAATCTAGAGTCCCCAGCTGCTCCCTCTCTCCATGTCCCCATCTCGGCCTCCATCTCTGGTGTCGCTGCTTCTCTGGATAAGGTCT